GCTGCTAGAGTCTCTCATTGACAATGTGAAAACATATGCAAACATGTGACTTTATGGGACAACACGTGGGTTTGTAGGACACGTGTTAGTCTTGCCACAAGTCCCTTATTATTTTTTTCTCATTCTGGACAGCGCCACCAACGAGCAAGTTAATTTTGAGACAGAAGGAAAAAAATCAAGTATGGGACGCCAAATAAATTATGTATGGCGTGCAATAAAAAGTGTGTAACCCAAAATTAGAGCCTGGAACCCTGGCTAGACACGGGCTTATTATTGCCAATAATTTGATTGGTTAGTGGTTAAGTTTCATTGACACTCTATTAACAGTGCTACTTCATTGTATCATAAACATATTTCATTCTTTCGTCTGTATACATTTTATAATATAATAGGAAATTGTTAGAAAGTAGGCCTATACAAAAAAATGTAGACAGTAACATTTAGTAGTTGTGACAATTCACACAATGTGTATTGCCACAGGGATGAATGAAGTGCTACAACACCAACCAACTTTTAAGGACTATCGCCTGCGTGTCCTTTAGTGTGGCAACTATGGGGTTTGTTTTGCTTTTAACATTACCTAGTGTATTGTCTTTTTAGAAATAAAAATAATAATAACGATGACATGGGTGGCAAATCGCTGTCCACTAGTTATGCTTAAATGAAATTTTAAAAAAGAAGAATATTCTCTTATATGATTAATGCATAAATAGATAACATATAGGCCTATAAAAATGAATACATACAAGAAAAATAGTTCGAAATTACTGTTTATAAATTTGATGGATTATAGAGGAAAAATAATAATAAAAAAATACATACAATAATGTAGTAAACGAGTATAAAAAAAAGTAATTACTATAGCATTGGAACTTACTCGTTTCATGTCTTCGTACTTGACAAACAGTACATTCTTATCATTGCGTTGACTCCACCAATAGGAATTCATAGCAAACCAATCTCCACGAATAACTGTAATAAAATGTTTAAAAATACTCTTTATAATAACACGCATATTTTTTTCCTTTGTTTTAGGTCAAAGGTCAGGGATATGCCAATCAGCAAACTGAATCACTATTCTATAAGTGGCATATCCCTTCACAGACAAACAAAAATGCAAGATGAGACTACTGGTAAGTCTCATTAGGGGGCTTAGGGAGTGGAGTTGTTTTGGTCATGAGAAAAATCCTGTTACCGCGACAGGCCTTGATCACCCAGGACCATGGATTTGGAATGCAAACATCTTAACCGCCAAGCTATTTAACTCCGTTTAATTTATTTGCTTTTAATAGAACTTATTCTGTAAAATGCAGGGCCTATAATCTAGTTGTAGTACTATTATTAATGATAACGATGATGGTGATGATAATAATACTAGTAATAACATAATAGTATTTATAATAATTAATTACTCGTATATAATATTTAAAACAATTAATGATATTTATAATATTATTACAAAAATAATTACAAATCAATTATTGATTACTAAACTGACGGACTCTACTCACGATTCCCAGCGCAGAAATCATTCAGAAATTCGGTCCAAGACTCGTAAGTAGGAAGATGTTTTCCAGTTTTATGGAAAAAGAAGAAAGACACAGCAGTGTCTTTGGGGTTTCTAGACACAAATATAATCTATGAGAGAAAAAAGTGGTAAATATTTGAAAGATCCAGTAAATACAAGTTACACATTTTGGTTCTGATGTAGGCCTGTTTACAGTGTTGAAGTGTCAAAATAAAATTAAGACTCAACCTGTATCTCGTTTCACCATGTAGTAAATACACAGCACGCAAACAACAGTCATCGAGCAGTCGGTTTTCTGTATCGACCACGAGTCAAAACATAGCGTGAATGTACGTAAACACCGTGCATTTGTGGGACAACATGTGTGTGTGTGTGTGTGTGTAGGTGTGTGGGGGGGACCCATTGTCAGTTTGATTAACACCCAGGTAAGCACATGTTTACCTTTGGCTTCTTCTCCTTTATGTGTGGTGGTATCGCTTGTGGGTTTAAATGAGTCTTTATCAGCCGAGGAGATGAAACTCCTTCTGTTTGAAAAGGGAAATCAATGAACATCCAACGTTTTTCTATATATTCCTGCTTTGCCTTCTCCACATCACATCCGTACATAAGAACAGAAACGATCTCTTGCATCCAAGTTGTGCCTGGTTAATATAATATATTTATAACGCAATGTACGGTAAGGTAATATATATATATATATACATATATATCTCTGGTTCTATTTCTGGCTGTTTACTTACGTTTACTTTTTAGCTGTTGCTTATCATTTTTGTATCTCTACTGAGATCCAGCCATTGTTTCCCACAGCATTGTTGTTTTTCAGTATTTTGCCTTTTAATGACCAGTCGCTATCTGAAGACTAATTTGATACAAATACAAGATAGTTATAATAATCATACATTAATTGTTGAAGGCTTTTATGGCATATATATATATATATATATATATATATATATATAGGCTTGCATGGCATATATATATATATATATATATATATATATAATATAAAACTAGTTTTTTGCTGCGTAAGACTGTAAACATAACAAATAGATAAATAATACCAATGCTCAAAAATTCCTTTTTAGTTGTATGGATTTAACTCCAACTAACTCAGTTACTGTATATGAGAGAAAGTGCTTCAATACCGTATGGGTATTTGTACAGTATGACACTCAACTTGTCAGCGAGAAGCTGCAGGTTCGAGAGATCAAAGATGTCTGTAATAAGTCAAATATTAGAATCCTTCACTGTCAATAGTATATTATCAATCTTACCCGATTTAGGAGACGTCATCACAACAACATCGTCTTCAACAATTTCGAACATCTGAAGATCCTGAAGATGCTTAGCTGTGGTTGCAATAGGCTGCCGTACGCCATCGATCATGTGAGTTTTCGTGTCACCTTCAGCATCTAAAGACATTTTCGTCACTGACCTAACACAAGTAAATGTTGAATTTTTACACCCTGTAGTGTCTACGGAAGTTGAGTTGATTGTGGTCTTGTGTTTAATCTGTTATTAAGTGGTTCAATCTGTATATAATACACTACACACCCGTCTTTATATCTTGAATAATAATGATGATGATGATGACGATGATGAAATAATAATAATAATAATAATAATAATAATAATAATAATAATAATAATAATAATATTGTGAGGCTGAGGTTTGCATGGTGAAGTAATATGCTTGAGATGCATCACGTTAATAGATGTGAAAATAATAATAATATAATAATGGTAGACTTATATAATAGCGCATATTATTAACCCCTGTAAATGCTTCACATATCATTAACCCGGTCATTAAATTACATGCATATAGATACAAATTTAAGATTCCGGGGGAATATTCCATAACGTTGTAGCAGCTACATCAGTGAATTTTGCCATTTAACCCTACCAGGTACCCACTAATATCCTCCTGGTAGATAATCCGGAAGGGAAAGTGTATAGATCTCTAGCTTTCAATGTTTACATTGGTCTGGCTAAAAGGCTGGTGACGCGCATTATTTTTTTTCCCATACAGTTCCGGCAGAAATTATAGAGGGCACACTTTAGGGTCATTTAAGTGAACTGATAACATGAATAATGGTGAAGGTGGTGTGGTGTTCGCAGCTTGTGGAATATGAAAGCTACGGCGTTGTTAGGGCATAAGTTACAGTAGTTTAGAAACTAAACTACTCCATAATTAGGGTAGGCCAAAATCTCTTGGTAGTCGGTCAAGAGGAAAGTGTATACAGTCGATACAGATTGAACTACCGTAATTGACTATTACTTTAATTACAATATCTCTATGCATAGGCAGTGTTTACGTTCAACATGGTCTTTGAAAGTATAAAAAGGCAGTGTTGAATTTCTGGTCGATTATTTGAGTAGTAAATCATAGCAATAACTGCTACAATACTGATTCTAAAGGATAACGTTTAGAAATGCTCGGACACACAGGTACAATTCTATGTATTGTTTTAATGTTGACTTCTTACAAATATTTTGTTCATATTCAATATAAATAAAGGCATAGATTATATAGCAAGCAGGTATATTATAAACAAATTAATAATTTGTTTATTTTAACTACAATATATAAATATGCCATTAAATTGCATAGAATGGAATAAAATCAAACAGAAATTGCACGTAATTTAAAAGTTACATTTATAATACTAGAATACTGCATGAATACCAGACGTGTGCACAGCACTGATCTCTACTATAATAGCTTTATTGCTTATTGGTTGGTTTTAGTGAAGCCACCGATGCTATGGTTCATTTCATCCCCTGTCATTGTGGAATGATGTGAACATGCAGCTACTATAAGCACCTCTTTACGACAGCTACAGTAGGTACTGTATTCACAGACCATGCCCATACGCAATTCAGCATACAAATAAACGGTTACTTACCTTTTTACTTTTTACTCTATTTAAAGTAAGATATCTCCATTAGCTATGAAATGACAACTTGGCACGTCATACTATCCATTTACCAAGGTAAACGTCTCGTTTGTGTGGAGATTGACAACTCGTTGATGTTTAAATATTGCAGACTACTATGGGGTGACATACGCAGCAAAAGTCCATGTTAAAATCAAAATGTAATTGCAAAATTCAAGGTCTAATTTATCAAAACGTAGGCATAAATTTCTCAAAATGTAGATCTACAGGGCTAGAAATTTACTTTTTCAGCCACTAGCAACCTATTGCTAAAATGTTCATTGGTTGGTTTTAGTGAAGCCACCAATGCTATGTTCATTTCATCCCCTGTCATTGTGGAATGATGTGAACATGCAGCTACTATAAGCGCCTCTTTACGACAGCTAGGTACTGTAGTCACAGACCACGCCCATACGCAATTCAGCATACAAATAAACGGTTAATCTCCCACCTTAACATTTACTTACCTTTTTACTCTTATTTAAAGTAAGATATCTCCATTAGCGATGAAATGAAAACTTGGCACGTCATACTATCCATTTACCAAGGTAAACGTCTCGTTTGTGTGGAGATTGACAAATCATTGATGTTTAAATATTGCAGACTACTATGGGGTGCCATACGCAGCAAAAGTCCATGTTAAAATCAAAATGTAATTGCAAAATTCAATGTCTGATTTATCAAAACGTAGGCGTAAATTTCTCAAAATGTAGATCTACAGGGCTAGAAATTTACTTTTTCAGCCACTAGCAACCTATTGCTAAAATGTGCTAGTTGTTAAAAATGTAACTAGCAAAATGAGCTGCTCAACCAGTAAAATATATTGATACCAAATCAATATATTATTTTCGGAAAATAAATTGTATGAAAATAACTAATGATGTACTTCTATATAAATTTGTGTGTTAAATGTTTTAATATAATATTTTCTGTTTTATGGTGAGTATAGTACAATAAATATCACAAAGAAATAGCCAAATGAGTATAAGAAATTGATTTCTATACCTTGTACATTTATCTTTCTACCCCCTTCCACAAAATTTTTAAAAATAAAAAAAAAAAAAAAAAAAAAAACACAGATACAAAATAAAAATTTAATATTTAATATATACTTAATTATTTTTTAAAAATAAGTTAAGTTTATCATTTATTCAATTTTTATTTTGTATCTGTGATTTTTTTTCATAATTTTTAAATATGTACTGCTTATTGGAATTTAAAAAAAATAATAATAATGTTATAAACAATAAAATTAATTTTATATTAATTTTATATCATATTATTTTGAAAAAAAAAAATATATATACTTGTTTAGTGTCACACCCTCAGAAATGTTCAGGGCGGGAGTGGGGAGGATTTTTTTTTTTTTTTTTTGCCAGCCTGGCCTAGGCGTAGGCAGGCGGAGGCTAGGCATATTCAAAAACTGCATTGGTACTGGCAAGCCAAATCTTTTTGACAGAAAAACACCATAAGAGAAACTCAATTTTACATAAAAGATTTGTTTGTACAATATTTGGTTTGATGGGCCTTGGTCTTTTAAGGCTGGGCTAGACATTTCGTAGGCGGCCGCTGGTGGTGTAGTAGTAGTAGGCCTAGCCTACGGCCTGGCCCTATGTTAGGAGGTCTAGGCTAGCCACACTAGTAGAGGGTCTAGCCTAGTATTAGTAGGCTAGGCCTAAAACATCTGTCAATTGAAGCCTAGGTTGTAATTTATTATTTGTCTTGGCTTCATATTACATTATTATTATCATATCTGAAACATTGTTTATTATCTAAAAAGAACCAAATAAATACGTACGCCTTTACTACCGATCGCATCGCCCGTGACTTCTGTCAACAAACACATGTGATGTGCTTGGCTGGTTTTGATTTACGTTTTGGGAAACAGAATTTGGAGGGGGCGTTTGATCAAGTTAGACCTACGTTTTAAATTTGAATTACATTTTAAAGAAATTATAACATTTTGGAAAAATTGAACTACATTTTGAAAAATTAGAACTTCATTTTGGGAAACTAGATCTACATTTTGCGAAATTTACGCCTACGTTTTGATAAATTAGACCAGGGAGTTGTTATATTAGAACAACTCCCTGATTAGACATTGAATTTTATAATGACGTTTTGATTTTAACATGGACTTTTGCTGCGTATGGCACCCCATAGACTACCCACTTGTTTTGCCATGAACGTACTTTACGAAGTAGGCCTACCATATTTTTATGTCTAGAGAAAGTGTGTAAACTCGTGGTTGTTAGGCTATCATTAATTAAAAGAAACATCTATTTTTATATTTCCAGATTGTTAGTACCTGTATATAAATAAAAGACATGCTTATATTATAAATTAGGGGCCAGATTTAGTATTTTGGACTTTAAGCCGCCGAAGAAGTAGGCCTACATACCATATTTTTATGTTGATCAACAAATGTTAAATTGTTTTTGTCACACTATCATCAATAATAAAACAAACTCGTTAGTTTTAGCATGGTTAACCGGCATATGCTTATATTAGCCTATAGATAATATTTAGAGCTAGATTTAGTTTTTGAACTAAAGCCATATCTTTACGAAGTACCATATTAATTGTCTTAACAACGTATGCCAAATCGTGGTTGTCACACTACATCATTAATAAAACAAACATTTTTAGTTTTAGTATGGTTAAACGACATTCTTTATAGATAATATTTAGTGCCAAATTTAGAGTTTTGGACTTTAAAACAATACCTTTACGAACCTTATAATTCTTTGGATGTGTACTTTTAACCAGTATTTGGTAACAAATAGTAAATTATTGTAGAATTTGTAGTAAATAGCATCAGGCCAGCACAAGTAGGCTTACGCCGGTCTAGTGTAACCTAAAATGAGCTGTCGCTATGACACTAATTAAACAGATGGCTGCACTTTTACTTTTATTGTAGCGCTAATGCACTAAAATAACATGCAATAAAACTTCATATTTTAAAAGTTGAAATAAATTTAGAAATCATAAACCATAATTTGCACGGTTATCCAAACTATGATTTATAAGCAAATCAATGGTCAAGCGTCCGAAATAAACAAAACAATTAAATCTCTATAGGCCTACTAAGAAAGTCGATACTGCTACTAACACAACCTGTCGTTTCATTTAATTTTATTCAGGATTTAAAATCACATATTACTTGAATACAAAGCAAAAACCGAAAGTAGATAAATGGTTAAAATAGATAAGACAGTAATTCCTAGAGTAACCCAAGAACGTTTTAAAATATAAAAATCTTATTTTCACTAGGGCCCTTAACAAATATGTTTAAACAATTTTTTAAATGAATAACGATAATAATGCCTAAATTGATTAAAATGTAAAATAATGAAGAAATTTTAAAAATGATACAATAAAAGAGATTACACATTCTTATTTCAAACATTGCACTTAATTAAAATTAACATTATTTACCCAAATGAGAGAGTAGATAGCTCAGTTGGCTAATCTGGTGGTAGCCACTGTGTGTGCGCTGAACCATGGAGATCTTTAGTTCCCATCCCCTGTTCAATTCCCACCGCTGCCTCTCCTTGTGTTTCAGCTGGAGGGCTGAAATACTAATAGTTACAAGCTCATCGTCTTTCGAATGAGAAGTTTAAGCAGTTGGTCCCGTGTGCATTTATGGCCCATGTGCATGTTAAAGAACGCAGTACACTCTTCAGAAAAGAATAAGAGATTGCCACCCGGTGTACTGCCCAATCACCACCAGAAGGACTATGGAAAAATTCGTCTTGACTTTCCTGAGTTATCCTTGGTGTCCGCACCGAATAGTATTCATATGCTATAATATCTTTATCTGTCAATATCTTACTGCAAAAATTGTTCTCAAATCAATTGTGTTTGTTTTATGAAATCTGGTGACTTCATCTTATCTTCATTTTTCCCCTAATATAATAAATGAGAATTGGTTTCACAAAAGTCGAAGGGATTCTGCAAACAAACAAATCCAGTATTCATATTTACAAGTTTCTTAGCTTACCTCCGACAGTATGTTCGTGTTTCTACCAATGGAATATCTCATCTCTGATCTTGCAAAGTCCTCGTTGAAAATCCTTGCATGCCATACAGTAGATAAATGGATTAATAGCAAGATTTAAATCCAGCAGCAACACACCCACCTCAATAAATATGTAACTAACACAATGGCACATGAAGAAATATATCAACACACCAACAGCGTTTGGAGTTTCTGTAACAATATAAACAAATGCAATTAAGACGAGTGTAGTTAATAGATCTGATTTGACTCTTTGAGCTCCTTCGCCATTCCTTGATGGAATTTCATTTGCAAGTTCATGATTAACTATTCTTGTTTTGTGTAACTTTAGCAGGATCTTCACGTAACAGTACAGCATAATGCAAATGGGTAGCAGGAACTGAAATATAATTATTAATATACCGGCTAACGCATGCATTTCCTTAATTGTACATATTTTCGCATTTGGATCCACGTCTTCAAATATAGGGAAACATATCATTGTGAGTATACAGAATACATGTGGGCTTACGAGTGATATGTATGTAACTTTACCACTCAAGGATTTCTGTTGATACAATAATGGATGGATGACTGCAATATACCGTTCGACTGTCAGCATAACAAAATTGTATGTTGATGTTGCTGATGCGTAGAAAAAAAGAAACTGTATTTTACAGAATATTGTTCCAGCAGTGCCATCAGGAACCTCAATGTTTTGGAATATCAAAAACATCAGAGAGCCAATCAAATCAATCACAGTCTGATGGAGAAGTAACTTGAACGACAGAGACTTCTTGTAAGTCTTGTTGTAGACGAACACAAATATGACAATGGTGTTTGCAAAGATGCCTATACTACCAATTACCCAACGAGCTATGACCAACAGCATGGGATCTTGCTGTTCCATGCGAGCTGTGTCGTTCGAAGATATATAATTCATCAGGGAGGTATTCATCATAGCTTTTTTCGACAAAGTTCAGGAAATAATTTACACAGTACAGTATTTATCAAATTTTCTTGTATATAATAGAGTAAGTAGTACTAGCTAAACAATAACGATTTCTTCAACGCTGTTCTTTTTAAATCACCTATTTGTCTCTTGACTAACCATGTGGTAGTAGAACCCTCGCATAAATTATCTTGGTTACGTTTTATCGAAATATGGGCAATTAGAAATTCTTAATAATTGAAGAATATGCCCTAATTTTTATATTCATCTACTTGATATATATTTTTTTGTCGGATTAATTTGCTAAAGTGGTACAAAGCATAATAATTTTGTAACATAGAATCCTTTCTTTGTTAATATGCATTACTTTTTTTCCTTTATATTTTTATATTCATCAACATGGTATTGTATATATTTTTGTTGTGGGATTAATTAACTAATTGTTCATTTACTAAAGTGAGACAGAACATTTAATATACTAACTCTTCATTTGTTAACTTACATACATCACATTGTTTATCGATTATCTTGGTTACGTTTTATCATAATGATCATTCCCCGCTGGTTAATATAAACATAGTGGTATTAAGTAAATTTGAGTTCTTGTTTCGAACAAGGTATCCATTCGTAGATATCTGATAAAGATAATCTATTTAATAGTGACCTCAGAACGGTCGAGTCCAGGACATAGCTGCGACAAATTGACAAAGATTGGAAATATGTTATTTGTAGACACAATGTATACCTACTATGCCTAATAAAAAATAATATGTAAGTATGTTAAGGTAAAATAAATTTAACGTAAATATAAAAGCAGCAGAAAAAGAATAAGAAAGAATTTAGGAGAGGCTTAAAATTATGTATTAAAAGTTGTATACATTCTACACATAAGAGAGATCTGGACCCATTTACTTAAAGGTTGACTCACTTTACACAAAACATGAGAAATCTGGACCCATTCACTTAAAGGTTGACTCACTTTACACAAAATATGAGAAATCTGGACCCATTTTTGAAATGTGTACCCAATAAAAAAAATTGTGTGACTGTCGCGACAGTCCCAATTGCTGGCTACGGCATTTGGTCGAACAACCGTGTAATTACGGAGATTAATAAATAATAATAATACTTACCTCTCTTAACATTATTGATGTTGACAATGCTGTTTCTTATTTTTACAATTTCTTAAAATATGTTTGTAAAGGCATTACTTCCTTGCAATGTTACTAATAAGCCTAAAATCTCGCATAACAGAAATGAATGGTTTGACAAAGAATGTCTTGACCTAATGAATGTGTACGACGAAGTTTAAATGAATTCTGAAAAAAAAATCGCACACAAGTCACATTGAATGATCTCAAAAGAAAAAAGGTATATAAAATAAAGCTGAGAACTAAATTAACAAATTTCTTGAAATTTCACAAAATAAATTTATCAATTTTATCAAAAAAGAAAATTGGAAATTATTTTGGTATAATATTGAAGAAACTACTTAAGATTTTGCATCTAAAATTAAAACAATAGAATGGTTCAATCATTTTAAACTCCATTTTAAATTCCAAAATTTTTCCTAAACAATGGGCAGCAAGTCTTATTATTCCAATCTTCAAAAAGCGTGATAAAAATAATACGAATAATTATAGAGCACCTAATCCGCCTCAAAGGAAGAGTACGCTCACGGCGCTTAATTCACTACAGGGGCTGTATGGACC